CTCACAACTAGAGAAGGAAAGGTTTTACATAATTGTTGCTAACATTAAAAAAGACATGTGCACATTATATTTCCGAACAACTATTTCAGTGCCTCAAGAAAGCCTTCAATCATTTGATGTAGTCTAGCCCTCTAATCACATTGGTGATTATGAATATATTTCAAAAGCAGTAAAGATGAACAGGAAAAAAACTGTACCAAGAACTGTAGTGGTTTCTTTAACCCTATTGTGACAGTTGTTTTGATCTTATAAAGTAGGTGTTGTTATTAACCATTGTACAAATGAACAGTCTTGGAGAATTACAGAGCCAGAAAATGAAAAAAATCACATATCTAAGATTCTGAGGTATATCTCATCAAACGCCCATATTTTTAATTCAATATCATGTTAATGCCTTAAGGGGGAAAAAGTGCTATATGTGGAAAAACAGATAATATATTGTCTTTTGTTTGAGCTTATGCTCCCCTTTGAGTTTATACTGCCCTTTGTTTCAACACAATCACATAGCTAACTTCAAAGTATTTGTAGCCTACAAAGATTTTCATTTGTTTGAACTATATTTTCAAAGAAGAATGTGGTCTGATCTTCCCTGAAGGTTCATTGTGAAATTGTGAGGTGGAAAATCCTGATTTTACAATAAGACAGTGTGAGTTGAAGGCATTTCCTCAGTGTCACTGAAAGAAAGTTAAGTCAGAGATCTGCCTTCATAATTCATGATTCCCTTCTAGTGCATTTGTTTGTACTGCTTAGTATTAAAAAGCATAATGCTTATGTTGATTTTTCTATTTACTATTACATCTTAGTTTCTCTTATTTCCTAACTTTCTAAAATGAATTAATCGGTACCTAATACAAAGTAAATCAGTGAACTGGCTGCCGCATTTACCCTGATGGGATTTCAGGCTCATGGTAAGGTACTGGGAAAATTCTGGCTCAATTGTTACTGACATAGGAGGCTTTACAGTTATTAGAAGACAGCCCAGGAGGAAAAGAAAAAATGGATTATGTGATCCTGTTTTGCTAAATACGGCACACTGCTGCTATCTTCTCTTTACTGCTTCCTCTAAGAGTAGTCATTTCAATGCACTAATCTTTTAAACAGCCGTTCGGTGGGAATTGGGCTAGAACTTTGCTAAGGGGTCACATTTACCAACCTGACAATTATACATTTACTAAAGAAATAGCATGAATTTATTCAGCATCAAAACCTCTGCATCTTTTACCACCCAACTGCCTTTCACACCATATTGCCATCAGTGCACTATAATGGCTATATAAATTCCATCCAGATTCTTCTTTTAATTAACTAGTATTCTTTGAACAAAAATAAAAGTGCTGTTTTTATAGAGGAATAAAAACTGCATGAGACGAGTGTGAAGGAGACAAATCACCAAATTAGTTATTCTTTATTGCAGCTATGGAGAATTCTCTGTCCCTCCCTTTCTCTTCAGTAGCAATATTTTTTTTCCTAGCCTGAGTGAATGGAAAATGGGCAACAGTGTAGCAGCCTCGAATGTGTTTGAGTTTATTGTAATGACCACATCCTAAAAGCTCATGCAGGGCTGGACACTGATGATATTGTCATCTACAAGTGATTTGGTTTTTTAACATTTTCTGTAGTTGGTAGCCAAGAGCTCGAACTTTGTAACTATACTGCCTGGGTTCAAATCCCAGTTCAGCCACTTACTAAGTTTGCGATTCTGAGCAAGCTCCCTAACGTTTCAGTTTCCTATCTATTAAATGAGGATAATAATAGACATACCTCTCACAGCATTAGGTGGATTATCTGAGTTGATCCATGTAAAACATCTAGAGCTCTGTCAACACATACTAAGCTGTTACCTCCTGTATGCACAGTCTAATGTGAAGTTGATCCTGCGCTGACACTGGTGACCCTTGATCACCTGGGCTGAACTGACTGATGTGGTAGTTAGGTAAATGTCCTTTTATTTCCTTAGATATTTCTTTCTAAAAGTACCTTTTATTACAAGACAATTACTTTTAAAAATAAGGAAGCAAAGTTATTTGAGTCAAGGGTACAATAGGCAGTTGGTTGGCCATGTCTCCATCCTGCAGCTGCTGCCAGATCTAGCTTTCTAAACCACTGGTTCTCATATCAATTTCTGCTCAGAAGGTTTCAAGCCTTCCCCAGATCCAAGCACCTTTGCCTATCACGCCATTTCTACCAGAGCCCAGCCCTTCTTTTTTTATCCATTGTGCCTCTAGAGGAAGCATCTACTCTAGTCAAAGTTGATCTATTTCAAAGTTAGTCATTTCTCAAATGTACCACATTCAGATTCCTAATTTTCCCTCTTCCTTTGTTCACACTGTTCGTTTGTCTAACATGTCCTACTCTCTTCCTCCACTTATCTAAGTCATACCTTCTGTTCTAAGCTGAGCCAAAAAAGGGAAAGTGTCTTTTACCCCCTTTGTATTTTTTATCACATAACATGATTGTCTGGATGCAGTAAGTGCTAAGTAAAAGTTGTTAATGATGAAGAACTCTCCTGTTAGCTCTATTTTCAAACTACATTTATTTATTTTATTTTTATAAATTTATTTATTTATTTATGTGGTTTTGGCTGCATTGGGTCTTCATTGCTGTGCACGGGTTTTCTTTAGTTGAGGTGAGCAGGGGCTACTCTTCGTTGTGGTGTGTGGGCTTCTCATTGCGGTGGCTTCTCTTGTTGCAGAGCACAGGCTCTAGGCACGCGGTCTTCAGTAGTTGTGGCTTGCGGGCTCTAGAGCGCAGGCTTGTAGTTGTGGCGCATGGGCTTAGCTGTTCCGCGGCATGTGGGATTTTCCCGGACCAGAGCTCAAACCCAAGTCCCCTGCATTGGCAGGAGGATTCTTAACCACTGCACCACCAGGGAAGCCCTCCGACTACATTTAGAATCTCACCACTTCACACCATCTCCACCACTGTCACCCTGTCCAAGCTAAAGTAACTGTAGCTTGCCTATCCCATTCCTCTTCTCCCTATTACACCCTTGCCTACTCCTGTGGTGAGTTGTCTGCTCTCAACACAGCAGTGAAAGTAACCCACATAAAATTTAAGTCAGATCATACCACTTCTCTGCTCAGAACTCTCCAGTCACTTCCCCTCTCACCCTGAGTAAAACTAAAGTCCTCTCAGTGGCCTCCAAAGCCTCTCGAGATCTGCAACTCCACGCCAACACCATCCCTGCCCAAACCTGTGACCACTTTGCCCTCATTTCCTACTATTCCCTTCTTCCTGTCCCCTACTACTGTCTACTTCTGCCACACTGGCTTCCTTGCTGTTCTCTGAAGATGCAAGGCACAATCCTGTCTCAGGACCTTTGCACAAATTGTTCTCTCTGCCCAGAAAGTTCCTCCTTGGAAAACTTTCATGGCTCCATCCTTCCTGCAGTTCTCTAATTATATGTCTTCTCAATGAGATCTTCATTGATTATCCCTAATTTGCTGTCTATCTTCCCAAACTTTCAATAGATTGTAAATTCTGGGGAACAAAAGGAGGACTTTTTGTCTATTTTGTTAGGTGCTCTGTCCTCGGTACCTGAAACAGAAACTGGCACATAATAAGTACTTAATAGTTATTGAATGTATGAATGAAAAATTGACCCTTAAAAATATGTCCTAGGGCTTCCCTGATGGCGCAGTGGTTGAGAGTCCGCCTGCCGATGCAGGGGACACGGGTTCGTGCCCCGGTCCGGGAAGATCCCACATGCCGCGGAGCAGCTAGGCCCGTGAGCCACGGCCGCAGAGCCTGCGCGTCCGGAGGCTGTGCTCCGCAACGGGAGAGGCCACAACAGTGAGAGGCCCGCGTACCGCAAAAAAAAATATATATATATATATATGTGTCCTATAGTAAAAATACTTCTAATCCTCCCTTAGGCTCAAACTAAAGCAAGTATCCTATAATAGCTCCCAGAAAATTAAAATAGCCACAGTTGAATATTAGCCGTGGCAATTGTAGCAGAAAGTTCCATTGCAGAGAAAAGAGATTTCTGCATCAAGTGAAGAAAAAGAAGCGGTTTACATTATAACAAGTGCCATATTAAATTATATTGGTGTCCTGGGGGACTGTTATTGACCCAACACCACACATTTTTGAGAGAGCAAGTGGTTTTGCCCACACCGTCCTCTTCCTAAGGTGGAGAATGTAGCTATTATATAGTTTTGTTTTGTTTTTGTGTTTGTTTGTCATCTAGCGGTGGAATAAAATGGTGAAAAGAACATTAATGTTGGAGTCAGGTAAACCTGGGTTTAAATTCTGGCACTAGTATGTGTCCTTGGATAGGATATGTAACCTCTCCGAGCCTCTGTTTGATTATGTATAAAATGGTTTTTTATAATGCCTTTCCCTCAGTGTTGTTCTAAATGTTAAATGGGAGAAGACGCATGAATTACCTGAGATGTAACATGTGGTTAATAAATGTATTGTGAACATTGCATCCCATAGAAATAGCTGTATATTTTGCTACTGAATTCTACTTTTTGGCTTAAATCAAAATGGAGAAGTAGCAGTTAGACTGATGTCTAGGAATAAGCTTTGGCTCCTGGCACTTGGACCACGGAGAAGCCCTCAACACTATAAATCTCTCAGCAGTATCTGATGAAGCTGCAAGAGCCTTCCTAGAACATGAGCCTACCACCTGCTTGACTTTTGTAGAAGCCTACTCTTTTTATCTTTTCAGCTAATTCTTAATCTTCTATTTTCCACTTTCAATTCTCTTTTGCTTCTCTTATTTTCAAAATTCTATGCTAGATGTGTGAAGTTGGAGATTCCATACTGAAAGTTTTCTAAGAAATCAAGAAAGGAAAAGTAAGGTCAGGCAGCTACTCTGTACAATAAAATAATGTGAATATTAATTTTCAAATTGAGATGTGAGAAACATATGTATAATTGATTCACTTTTAGAATTAGAACTTCCAGGAAGGAGGAAAATATTTTGTTTAAACCACTGAATTGTTTTTACATGTTTTTTTTTCAATGACATTATTTTTTGAAATTTTTAGGAAGCCAAAGCTGTGGTCGAAGAAACAAGAGCCCTGCGAAGTCGGCTTCACCTTGCCGAAGCTGCACAGAGACAGGCACACGGAATGGAAATGGATTATGAAGAAGTGATCCGTCTGTTAGAGGCCGAGATTACAGAGCTGAAGGCTCAGCTTGCTGATTATTCTGACCAAAATAAAGTAAGCAAAACAGTTCTCTCTTCTAGTTACCATGGTTTCCTTGCCGTTGTCATGTATCCTGTTTTCATTTTCTTTTCATCTGCACTTCTAAACTAGGTCAGTGTTTGTCTTCTATAATTCAGTGATAGGATGATGTGTCATGATGGGGGTAATGTGAAGGTTATGAGCCTCCGTTTATCCAGATAGCTTTGGGATGCAAAAGTATGTGCCCAAATTTATTCAGGTCATTGGTCAACATTGTACAGCTCAGGCACTGAGTCCTGGAACTATTTAACATTTAATTGATTACATTGGTTTCCTCCTTTTTCCTAAACTTGCTAATTTGTCCTGTGGGGATGGGAGGAGGAGAGTCTAGGGATGGGGTTTGCTCTTTGATTAGAGCACTCAAGGAAGTGTGAAAGTTAAAGAATTTTTTGCCCAAGGCCCAAGATAATTAATAGAAAGAAACTTGAGTTTGAATTTAGCAGACTACAATTTCAATAGTGAAATACTGAATGCTTTCCAGAAGGCAATGTGAACTTTTTTTAATGTGAATTTTGTCATTATGTGATTTTTTAAAACATACTGTACCATTGAATGGTCTTCAAAAACTGTAACAGACATTTTTATTTCACTGAAGTAAGGTAGAAAATTAAATAAATTGAAATAGATATTTTATAACTTCATAGAGTTCATTTATAACCATAGTGTTTATATCTCTCTAATACAGTCATCTTTCAAGAGAACATAAAACAAATTTGAAAAATTCGTGTGTATTTATTTAAACATAAAAGAGTTAAATACTTTAAATATACCAAGTAGAAATGAAACCAGTTTTAGAAAAGCAAAATACAGAAGAAAATCTGAAATTTTCTTCGGTTAGCTCTTAAGAATCACTAATATATTTCTCACATCTGTCCATTTAAACCAATCCCAAAAGAAGGTTGACATTCCTGTCACCCTTCGATAATACCACAAGGCCAAGGGGAAAACATTACTTGAGACAGCAGAAATACTTAGGAATATTACATGTATTTATTATTCTTGACCCAGTGTTTACATTCTGAAATCAGAGATATGTGCTTATTTCATGTGAGTAACTTTAACATGATTCTGAAAATATTTTGGGAATTTTCAAAACACTAAAAGTACTTTTTTTTAATAATAACTTGATTTACTTTTGGAGGGATAATCAAGTCTTTAAAAATACTTCTTAAATAATATAACATTCAAGGAGTTCACATGAATTTATTCATTTTTTTAAAAGCATAAGTTATTTGCTGTTCTTTCTTCCAGCTCCTAGCTGAGAAACGTTTTTGTCCTAAGTCGTGTAGTAATATAATTAATTCAGTTCTTCTCTTTTTTAGCATAATGGTGTCTCATGCCATTCCTCTTAACAAAATCCTAAACTAAATCATTAACCTGTCTCTGAAGATAATCTTTTTTTTTTTTCCCAAAGAGGAGATGTTATACATGAGCATCTTAACATTTTCCAAACCCAATACCAGTGGAGAAATAGAAGGAAAATTTTTTTTAATTGTTTGAGATTGCTTGAAGAGTCACTGACCAAGATATTACAGGATTCAGATTCAATATTCATTTTTAAGGCATATTCTTTTTGTAACAATATTATTTTTCTTACAAGTTTTCCCTTATATTATCTCTATATTTACTTATTTCCCTTTTTTTTTCACCTTCAGCTTAAGAAATAAAACTTTACCAGTACCTTTGAAGACCCACAATATCCCTTTCCAATTGCATCCCCCTTCCTCACCCTCATAAGTAAACAAACCACTTTCCTGGATTTAGTGTTAAACATTTCTTGATAATTTTACTACCTATGTATATATCCCTTAACAATATGTTGTTTAATTTTGCCTGTTTGTCAACTTTATGTAAATAGAAATATACTACTTTTATTGTTCCAACTTGGTTTTTCACTCAAAATTTTGTTTTTGTGATTCATCTATTTGAAGTTTATAGCTAGTTCATGTCTTTTCATTGCTTTTTTGTACTCCATTGAGTGGATATATTACAGCATATTTGTCCATTCTGTATTTGATGGACAGTCCAATCGTTTCAGTTTTCTTCTGTTATGAACAATGTTGCTGAAAACAGTTTTGTACATATATCCTGCTCCACATGTGTAACAGTTCTCTTGGGTTCATATCTTGGAGTGGAATTGCTAGGTTGAATGGTGATTGTATGATCAACTTTACTAATTACAGTTAGGCAATTCCTAATTGTTTTTGAAAGTGTTTGAACCAATTTTACTTCCAACAGTAATGAATGAGAATTACCGTTTACCCCAAATCCTTGCTGATGCTTGCTTTCTTTTACTTTTAATTTTTATCAAACTGTTAGGCGTGATAAGTGTATCTCATTGTGGTTTAATTTGAATTTATCTAATGATTTTGAGCTACTGATGTGCTGGGACCAGCTGGTACTAGTTTGTGAGAGCTGACTGTGTGCATTTCTTCTTAACTGCATGTTCAACACATCATGTTGTTAGCTTGAAATCAGCCATGGTGGGGTTATTTACACCCCCAAATGCAATAAACCAGGGCTTTGCCCCTTGTCCCAGTAGTCAGTTGAGCTAATATTCATGCACTTATTAGGCATTTGTGTTTCTATGTGAAATGCTTCTTCATATCTTTTAACCATTTTCCATTGGGTTATTTGTCTTTTTTATATTCACATGTAGTGATTGTTTGTATGTTCTGGTTACTAACCTATCTTATATTTTATGTTGTAAAAATCCTCTCCGGAATTTATAGCTTACCTTTTCACCCTCTGGTGAAATGAACAGGTGTTATTTTCAAGTAATCAAACTTTTCAGTCTTTTCTCTCATGTGTCTTTCCAGAAGTCCTTCCATTCCCAAAGATATTTTTGTATTTGTCTCTAAAAGTTTTAAAACTTTGATCCTTCTGTCATGGTTTTATGTCATTGTATAAGGTGGGGATTCATTTCATTCTTTCTTTTTTATTCTAAGTGAATGACCAACTATACCAGCACTGCTCATTCAAAAGTCTCTTGTACTCTAAATCTTGATCTGATCAACCTGTCTAGTTCTTTTTCTTTAAAAGTGTGTTGCCTATATAACCCTTTGATCTTTTATATGTATTTTAGACTCAGATTATAAATTCCATCAAAGGAAATTAATACGATTGTCATTTTTACTGAAAATGCATTAAATATATAATTTGGGGGAAATTTACATATTTATGATTGTGTCTTGATTCATAAACATCATTGAGGAACAGAAAGGTTAATTGCATGCGGCCAGAGAATCTAGTCTATAGATAACTCCAAAATTCATTGATGGTTGCTTCATGGCTTACTGTATGACCAATATTTACAAATACTCAAAGAGAGCTTGAAAAGAATTCTGCAATCATTTGATGTGTTGTTTTATATAGTCCACCAGATCAGGATCATTAATTGTGGGGTTCAATTCTTCTCTAGTCATATTAATTTCTTTGTCAGGGAATAGGTTAAAATTTCCCTTGTGATTACTTTTTAAAATTTTCTGTATATATTTGAAGTAATGTTTTTAATTGCATACAAGCTTAGAATTATGTTATCATCCTTTTACGAAAATGTTGTGACTCTTCAATCTTCTTTCCCCCTTAGTGCTTATTTTTGATTGATATTAAAATAGTTATACCAGCTTTCTTTCGGTATTTACCTATGCATTTTTTCCATCCTTTTACTTTCAACTTTTCAGTGTCCTTATATTTTAATTGTGTCTATGATAAACAACTGGTAGTTGGATTTTTTACCCCATTTTACTGATTTTTGACCTTTAATTGGAAAGGTCTTTCCACTTACATTCTTATTCGCAAATGCACTTGGCTTCATTTCTACCCTTTTATTTTGTGCATTTTATTTGTCCCATGTTTTCAGTTGTTTGTCATTTCTTGCCTCCCTTTTTTTTTTTTCTTTTTTGGATTGGGTCAGACTTCTTCTGTGTTCCCCTACTCCCATTTCATTTAGTTTACTCTGCTAGTTTAGAAGTTAGACACTTGGTTTCTAATTTTTAAAGATTATATTAGAAATGTTAACATTCTATTTTAACTTAAATTATAAAACTAATCACTGGCTTTCCACTTCTTCTAAATATTGTAAGGACTTTAAAACATAAATCCAATCATCCCTTTCTGCTTAATTTCTATTACCTAAGTATTTTAGATCTTTCTTGACTTTTAACATCATAAATTAGATACTATTACAGTTTATTTTGTGCAGTCAACCTTCATTTAGACAGACCTCCATGTTTATCATTTTCTTTGTTCAACATTCTTCCTTTCATTTGACATCCTTGCTAGAATTACTTTATTTTTTCCTGAAGTACATCTTTTAGAAATTCATCTTTTAGAAATAGTGGGGATCTATTGGTAATAAACTCTATTTTTGTTTGTCTGGAAACTTCTTTTTTGACTCTTGTTCTTGAAATATATTTTTGCTACATTTAGATTGTTAAATTGGCACTGAATTTCTTTCAGTGTTTTTATTCTATGGTTGTGATATCAGATGTCAGTCTGTCGTTTGTTTGCTATCTGTTGTTTCTTTTTAGATGATTTTATCTTTAGTGTTCAGCAGTTTGACTATGATCAGTCATGTGTTCACTTATTTTTATTTATATTGCTTGAGATTCATGGAATGAGGTTCCTGATCTGAGGAACAGTGTCTTTCACCATTTCTGAAAACCCCTAAGCTTTTATCCTGACCTATTCCTCTTTCATTATTTCTAGTCTGTCTTATGTAATTCAGATTGGATGTATGCTAGATCTTCTTCCAGTTATTTTTTCTCTTTTCATATTTTCCATTTTTATTTTTATGCTCTATTATGAGAAGTTTCTTTACCTCTGCCTTCCAGTTCACCCATTCTCTTTTCATCTGTATCTAATTGGATAGTAAATGCATAAATTGTGTTTCTAATTATTACTGCTTTTTTTTTTTAACATCTTTATTGGAGTATAATTGCTTTACATTGTTGTGTTAGTTGCTGCTGTATAACAAAGTGAATCAGCTGTACGTATACATATATCCCCATATCCCCTCCCTCCTGCGTCTCCCTCCCACCCTCCCTGTATTTTTACTTTTCAGATCTATTTTTTGTGTCACCTGGATCTATTTTGATAGTTTCTTGTTTCTTTATTATGCTTTAAATTCTTAATTTTTAAAGCATATTAAACATAACTTTATATTCTGTATCTGATCACTTCAGTAGCTGCTATCTCTATAGGTTTGATCCTATAATTTGTTTCCTTCAGCTGACTTTTCATCCATAGTAGCTTATTTGCTGAGATCATGTTCTTTTGATACATTAAATGTAGGCATTCTTTGATGTCTGAGTTTAGCAAATAACCCCACTAGAGAAATTTTTTGTTTGCTTTTACCAGCCGGAGACCAATTTAAACTAAATTTTCAGCTTATGAATGTACAGGCCACACAGGTAATATAAATTCTGACCTGGAACCTGCATGAGTTGGGGGACTGTGGTTGGCAATTATTCGGGGGACACTTTTAACCATTCACCAGAGGCAAAATCAAAAGTTTTGTTTCTCCCTAATTCACCCATTAAAGTTCTCCTGTTTGCCATTTGTGCCTGATGAAACCCCAAACTATAGGCCTCCAAGGATCAGCAAATACCCTGAGATCAAATTGTGCTACAGCGTACTCTAACTTCAGTGGGTTCACTCAGCATTACTATTGTTTATCTTCATGAAATTCCTTCACTTTTCCTGGAATTCTTTTACTTCCCCGTCAGCTCAGCTTTACATTGGGTCATATTACATTAAATATTTATGTATAGGGCTTCCCTGGTGGCGCAGTGGTTGAGAGTCCGCCTGCCGATGCAGGGGACGCGGGTTCGTGCCCCGGTCCGGGAAGATCCCACATGCCGCGGAGTGGCTGGGCCCGTGAGCCATGGCCACTGAGCCTGCGCATCTGGAGCCTGTGCTCCGCAACTGGAGAGGCCACAACAGTGAGAGGCCTGCATACCACAAAAAAATATATTTATGTATATCTTCAGCATGTTGGATTGTGCCACACTAATAGGGGTTTCTGTCAGCCTCTGGTAACCATGTTGTCAAGAAATGCCATAAGCTAATTAAAATGTATTTTAATATAAGAGTATAATATAAACTAATTAAAGTGTATTATATATAACATTATATATAATAAATGTATTATTATATAACTTTTATTAAAATAAAAGTTATTTGTAGCTTATCTTAAAAAGTTTGCAGCATTTCTGTGCAGTTTAACTTTTAAAAATATGCAATTAGTTAAGTACCCCCCAAAACCAGAAGATATGTACAAGAAGAGAGAAAATAAATGATATAGTAATGTTGGATATTAGTTAATAAAAAATGAAAATAGGAGCCACTAGTATAAAATTGAAGAAATGTATAATACGTTCCTTTTGATATCTCTGTCCAGGAAAGTGTTCAGGAGTTAAGAAAGCGAATCACAGTACTTGACTGCCAATTGCGAAAATCAGAAATGGCTCGAAAAACTTTTGAGGCATCCACTGAAAAGCTTCTTCATTTTGTAGAGGTAAATTTTCCTGTTACATCACTTTATGTCCATTTTTAAGAAATGTATAGACAACTGACATACAGGTAAATGTCATGGTGTTTGATGGCTAGTGAAACATTCTCTGGGCTCAAAACAGCAATGGTGACTTACAGTCAGATTTTAAATTGCTTAGATAATGAAAAGACCAGCTAACATACAGATTAAGAGAAATAATTGAGACAGGGTAATATGATCCCAAATATATACTATGTTTTAATGAACACTTTCTTAACTTTTGATACTATGTAAACATTAGTTGATAACTACCCTATAAAGAAATGTTTCTCTGTGTATTATAATTCTGAGTAGAATTGTATGTTAATGTAATTGATTTTTTCCCCTATATAACAGGAACACCTTTTTAATCATATGGGTGGAGGGGGTTATAAATATTATTTAAGCAAGAGAAAACATTTTAAAAAGCTATCAAAGTTACATTATCACCTTCACTCTCTTGTTTGTCTCTAGGCTATTCAAGAAGTGTTTTGTGATAATTCTCTTCCTTTGTCAAATTTAAGGTAAGAAAATTTAAGTGCTTTCTGCAGAGTATGGCCACTGATTACATTCTTCATCTGGTACTTGTGCTAAAATACTAAAATCTCTTAAAGTCTTAAGATAGTCAAAGCAATTTTTTCCTTTTATAAAGACTACCACTAGCAATGTAGTTCTACTTCTAGCAACGTATGCTTGCAGAAACATAGGAAAACTCCACCCTTTTCTGTGAAAACAGCAGTTCAATAAATGAAGATGATTCATTATATTTTAAGTTTCCACATAGCATTTTTGAATTTAGAAAAATATGGTAGTACATGGTAGTACATATGGTGGTACACCTTTAAACTCATTTTAATGTAATACTTTATTTCTTCAGGTGAAATCTGATGTTTTTATTGTTATCTATGCTGCTTATGATGTAAAATAATTATGTGAATACCATGGTGATTATTTTCAGTATGATGTTAAAATACTCAGCAGTCAGATTCCGCTTGTATGGGTTAGACATGTCCCAAACTCCCACCACCCAAGGTTTCATTGTGACCTTGAATAATAATTCAAAAGCTTTGGTATTAAAAATGACTATTTAAAAGCCAGAGCCTGCCCTTGCAGGTTCACAGAACAAAAGTAACTTTAAAAAGCAACATTAATATATGTAACTGAATCACTTTGCTGTACACCTGAAAGTAATACAACATTGTAAATCAACTATACATCAACTTTTTTTAAAAAAAGCAACATTAAGCAACTTTTTGCTACATCTTGGAAAGTTAAACACTAGTAAAATTTGGCTCAGTCTTTTTAATATACTATATCATCTGTAATGGATGTTGGCCTTGGTATTCTACACGGAATAAAGGCTCTGTATTTGAATTTGAGAATTGATGCTTTAGTTTCTCCTTGTGAATTAATACTATCATGCTTAGGAAGATGGATTATAAGTAATGATGGCTTTGTCATCAGTCTAAAATTGTCTCTTTTCAAGTAAATGTTTCAGCGTAATGGTAAAAGTAAAACCTTGCATTTTAATTTTATCAGAATGCATTCATTTCAGGTGACTTTCACATTTTTTAAAAATGGTATAAATGCTCTAGGCTTTTTTAGATTTAGGGATAGCAAATGGAAGAGTTTAAGAGAGAATTTCAGGAGCAAATATACATATTGAATTATATTTAATATTACTAGAAGTACTAGTAAATGTCTCTTTAATAAACTTATGTTTAAGTGCTTAATTTAAGTGTTTACAAAACTAAATAAAAGGCCAAATCATGTTAGCATAACACAAGCACTCACAAAATAAGCCAAACAAATGATTTAGGAGGAAGCTATCCTTCTATCCATTCCTCCTTATGTATAAGGTAAACCTAATTTTTTAAATATGCCTATTTATTATATAATAAAGAATTGAAAACAGAAATATTATTTTGTGGGAATTATTTCGATTATGGCTATAAGAATACAATGTTCCCAATCAAAAATTTTTGTACAATTTCATAACTAAGAAGAATTCAGTCTTAGCAAAGATAGATATTATTCATTGTGTAATAAGTTTAGCTTTATTTTATTGCTTCCATAGTGAAAGAAGAGCTATGTTAGCTTCCCAGACGTCCCTCACACCACTGGGAAGGAGTGGACGTAACATCCCAGCAACACTGGCACTTGAATCTAAGGAACTTGTTAAATCTGTCCGAGCCATACTTGATATGGATTGTAAGTTTTCTGCATTTTTTTCATGCTTTTAAAAATAACTTATTTAGCAAAACAAAAGGAGAAAATTTCAAGTTTGATAGTTTAATCTTGTTAAATGCATTGGTTTGCCTACAGTAAAACTGATAGCTTATCGATAAAAATCTTAATGCAACCAATTGTGGGGGGAGAATACTTGCTTTATTTAAAGTGCTCAAAATGGCTTCCAACAGAAGATAGCTGATTAAGACTTTTTTTTTTTTTTACCTCTACTTCCATCTAAAGTCTCTTTGAAATGGAAGAATAAATATAAAAATAAGTCCACAACAGCACTGGAAACCTAGAAGGTTGGACTGAACATTGAGGAAATTTTTAATAATATACAACAGATGGAATAAGATTGAAGATAGAGCCCAGCTATGCAAGAGACCCCAGAACACAATAAAGGTGAAAGACAGTGAGTTAAGTAGAACCATGAAAAACCCTCAAGATCACAAGCAGGGAAAACTAGGAACAAACCCTGGGGCAGTCAGCAGGGTAACTAATTAAAGGGCTGTAGAGCAGCTGAACCAGTTCCCTACTCTTCAGAGCTGAGAGAATACCTCTCTCAAGGGACTGCATGATCTGTCACTGGACACCCCCAGAGTCAGCCGTGTTCTCGGTAACCGCCTTACATATTTGTCTATGTAAGACTCCTGTCTCAATTTAGATATTCCTGTCTGAAATTAGCAATATTTTAACTTTTAAAATTAGAATGTCAGTAATAGCTGCTTTTTGTCTTTACATTCTGATGCTAATTAGAAGTTATTTAGACAGCCGTGTTCTCAGTAACCACTGGACACCCCCAGAGTCAGCCGTGTTCTCAGTAACCTCCGTGTTCTCAGTAACCACCACAGGCCACATTGCTCCTATTTTTTAGGAGGGATGAAAATAGCCACTACTAATGTATTATGTGTAAGATCAGAATTTTATATATCAGACATTTTTAAGCTAGGATGGGAACAGTGGAGGGAAACACCTGCACAGACATAGCCCAGTGGACATTGCAATCATTAATTTTAATTACCTTGCTAGCATTAACCTTTATATTTGTCAAACATGATTGTTCAAAGAAAATTTTTGAAGTTCAGCAGAACTTCTTTGGAAGAAAAGTGGAAAATTACATCTTCACTTTTTATCTGTCATAAGATTATACCCACTCCGCTGCTTAAAACTAGCAAATTGTTTCTAAGTTGTCTTCCTATTTAGAAATACAATTGCTAATGTTTGCATATTTCCCAGCACTTTTGTAATTATATGTGACATATCTTTTTCAGTGTGATAATTAAGATAAGCTCAGCTCATTTTTCTTTCTCTTTAAGCAGTAGCTTTTTCCATCTGTAATGAAAAGGAGAAAATTGCTATCATCTGGTAGATAATTCAGCCACAGCCTCCACCTCATTTCCTTTGCCATGGCTATCCGATTATTTCAAGTTTCAATTTGAAATTTTCATTTGGGTAATTGCCTCCACTTTCTTGTTAATTTAAGTATACTCCAGGATGTTATACTATGGAATTTCCTCAGAAATGAAATTAAGATTTCTTAGGTCTTATAGGTTAAAACCAGTCACTAAGGAATATCTAGAGGACAATTCTGAACCATTTTTGGATCATGGACTCCATGGAAATCTGGTGAAAGTCCTCTTCCCAGAAATATGCAATTAAGCACATTTTTTTCATGCATTTTCAGAGTGTTTATGAACCCCAACTTAAGAACCCCGATGTAAAATTACAGGGAACACGAATGCTTTCTACAGCATTGCAAACATGGCCATCCATCTCTCACAAGAATACCTCTAGCAGTGGAGAAGTTTACGAATCACATAGGCAGCCAAGAGTCAAGCAGCACTTTGAATCCATGTAAACAATGTGCCTCAGAATCTCTGATGTTCCCTAGAGGTCCCCCAAAGGGCACCTCAATTGGTCATCCAACTTCATTAGGCAAATTACTTAACCTCTGGGCCTGTTTCCTCATATAAAAGGTAGAGATTATAATATCTGAAGTGGCAGGATTGGAGGATTAAATGAGATACATGTAAAGTACCTTAAAGTATAAGATGTTCTATAATGGCTGTTACTGCTGCTGGTACCACATTACTATCTATAGTAATTAATTTAAAGAATACTTTTTCTCTATGGTAAGTATTATATAATTATTTTCTAAAGCTTTGGTTAGCTTCGATACATTTGAAAATGTGATAGATGAGACCTTTTCTTAATATATAACATTTATTGCTATTATTGATTTTGAGTTAGAACGTAATCATCACAGGAAACTGCGGTTAAATGTCTGAATCAGCAGCTTATCTTTCAGTTGTTTATTGCTAACCATAAGGAAACTTAGATCTGCTCTGTTACATTACCTTCAGTGAAACAGTATGTAGACATAATAGGCATTTTCAATCAGTACTGGAACCCCTGGAGGCCCTTATATTGATCTCCATCAATATTTACATGGTCAGTATTGCAATGCTTTAGTGTCATCTTTATTTGAAATAACTACATGTTTTAAAGTGTAATCTTCATTTGATTGACATCTAGATTAACAAAATTCTGTAATGAAAGCAGGAAGAGGCAGTTCTATTTTTTAAAAATGCATATTAAAACAATATCTGAAAAAAAAATAAAACAAACAATATCTGGCTGGATATCCAATAGGAGGTTTTTTATAAAAAGAGAACTCATTGACTCCCTGGTAAATCGGCAGAGTAAACACAGGCTTCTACCTTCCTTCCCTTGGAAATGATCAATGGAATATAAAAATAGGGGGGAAGCCAGGGTCCACACAGTTTCTGTGTCAAGCAGAAGGCCATCTGGGGCTTGGTCCTTTAGGCAGCCTAGACACACTTTAGACCTGACACACACTGGGGCATACAAGAAATGTATGTAAAGAAATAAATGTAAAGGGAAACTGGCACAGCAGCTTCTGTACCACAGGCCACATTGCTCTGCACAGCCGCCTCTGGTCCTGGCTCACGACTCACTCCCCTCAGACTGATGCATTGTCCTTATACTTGCAATGCAATGCACATGGGCCAGCCTCCAGCCTGAGCTTTAGATCATACCCTCATCAACAACTTGGTTGAGTGTCAGGGCAACCAGGGATCCACATATTCTTGCAAGGGTCAAAAACCAATTCTGAGTAGAGAGCTCTCTACATTCAAGGCTTGTATAAAGAGAAACATATAACACACACACACACAGTTCATTCAAGCTCTTATAAACAAATAGATATATATGTATACATAGAAATATATGATTATGAAAAAGTCCACTTTCAAGAAAATAGGAGATAGCTGTCAAGATTCAGAATAGACTTCAGGATCAAGATGGTAGGGTGATCTCATGCCATTCTGTTCCTACACTTAGAAATGACGTTTAAAATTGTGTGTGTGTTCAAAAGATAAAAACCGAGAAAGGAACGCCTCCCTGCACCAAAAACAGAGGGTAAAACTATAATAATAACTGGGGGTCTTCAGCTTCTGAGATACACAAGATCGACGTGAGCAGCTGGAGCAAAAGTTCAAACACCCACGAGGGCCCAAATGATGCCAGAGCGAAGGAAGCAAGGAGCAGGAACCTTCCAGCATAAAATACACTTTCTTTTCTCAACTTACTCACGTAGAAGGCATTAAACAAAAATAAAAATCCCTTCAGTTTAGGAGCCATCTGGGCCTGCCGCCGATTAAATTTGAAAATAAGTGTTCTCATCACTACAGGTGGGAATATAACTTGACACAACATTCTTGGGAGTCAGGTTTGCAGTATATATCAAGAGCTTTTAAAATGTCTATTTGAAAATTGTTTTTGAAAGTTAAAAGAAAATTTTAATGGTCAAATATTTTAACCTGATAATCCCACCTGTTAGTATTTTTGCAAAGAAAATAATCAGTGATGTGCTTAAAAATGTATATACAAGTATTTTCATTGTGGCATTTCTTATAAAAGCAGAAGTATGCATGTTCAACTGTTACATATTGGTTGAATAATTATATAGTTTTACTCAACCCATTGAAAATAAAGATGAACTTTTCCCCTACCAAGCAACAACCATCCGATTACACATATTTGTCTATGTAAGACTCCTGTCTCAATTTAGATATTCCTGTCTGAAATTGGCAATATTTTAACTTTTAAAATTAGAATGTCAGTAATAGCTGCTTTTTGTCTTTACATTCTGATGCTAATTAGAAGTTATTTAGACAGATGGAAAAAGGCTCTTTGAGAAAAAGGGGAAATGCAGTACTGCAATATTTAAAGGCCTTCACAATTTTTCTTTTGGATCCAAAGCTCACACTTGATATAGCATCTTCTCATTGTACTTATTCGAGGTCTCAGACTCTCATCTTTGCCTTCCTTATTTCCTTCAAAGCATATTTTTATTAACCAACATGAATTTATCATGTATATATATATATACCATGTGTGTATATATATATATACCATGTGTATACGTGTGTATAGCCATGTGTGTGTGTGTATATATATATATATATATATATATATATCTTTGGAAGTCAGCTATACTATTTAGAATGGGCATTATGGTATTTACTTCCCATAAAGTAATCATATTATTTATATATCTTTCTTCTCCTAGAATTGGGGAAAATGTTTCACGCATAGGGAATAGGTTATGTGATCTGATGCCATTTGAGAGACAGTTTCACCTGTTTTTTTAGACAGACCTATTCTCTAGTGACTTGGTTATTCAGAGCCAGATAATAACCACTGTAAATATTTGCGGTGTCTTACCATTCAAGGAAAATGGCAAGCTCACATATTCTCTTATATTGTTGCAAATTGAAAGTAGGTTACTGCTATAATGTTCCATTAAGAAAATATATCAAATTTAATCTTGGGTCGTTTCTGGAAAATAAACTATACTTGAGTTATTCAATTTTGTTTTAAGTGGGCAAATTATTATTAGCCTCAAGAAAAATAAGTAATTTCTTTCCTGGCACAATTTTATTTCCAAAAAAAAA